TTTGAGTGCAGCATCATTGTCACAAAACAATTCACTTGATCCATCAACTTGCACTCCAAGGTCTGAAAGTAGTCCTTGTAGCCAAACTATTTCGCAAACAGTTTTTGCCATGGCTCAATACTCTGATTCGGCTGATGATAATGATATTGTTGACTGTTTCTTTGTTTTCCATGAAATTAATGATCTTCCCAATTTGATGTAAAAACCAGTGATGGATCTCCTGGTCATTGGGCAAGTAGCATAGTCTGTGTCACAGTAAGCTGTCATCTTCATGTTGTAGTCACGAGACAAGAATATACCAAGTCTTGGGCATCCCTTCAAATATTTTACAACCTTTAATGCTGCATTCATATGGGATTGTTTCAGGCTATGTATGAATTGGCTAAGTATTTGCATTGCATAACATATGTCAGGTCTTGTCACGGTAGGATATATTAATTTTCCAACAAGCCGCTAATATGCCGATGGATCCTTAAGTAATGGATCCTTGATAGACGAAGATGAACTCATATCACATTCATGTGTCGTCAGCTTGGCATTTTATTCAATTGGTATAACAGTTGATTTGCATCCTGACATTCCTGCTTCTGAAACAATTTCCGAGATAAATTTTCGCTGACTAAGGTCGATTCCTTTATGAGATCGAGCAATTTCAATCCCAAGAAAATATTTGGGAGGTCCCAAATCCTTAATGTGGAAAGTTGAATGCAAATATTCTTTGAATTTCGCAACATGAGAGTCATTATTCCCCATGATAAGTATATCATCAACGTATACCAGCAAATAAATTGATGAAGTACCTGCAGTCCATGTGAATAGGGCATAATCATGTTTGGAATGCTGAAAAATTGGATTTGTTAGTGTAGCAATGAACTTAGCATAACATTGCCTAGAAGCCTATTTAAGCCCATATAAGAATTTACGGAGACGACATACTCAATACTCCCCCTGCTTATGTAAATCCTATGGAAGTTCAATATAAATTTCTTCATCTAGATCTCCATGAAGAAATGCATTTTGCACATCCATATGATGCAATGGCCAATTACGAATAGCGGCAAAGGACAAGAAAGAACGAACAGTTACCTCTTTGGCAACAAGAGAAAAGGTTTCATGATAATCAAAACCTTCTCATTGTGTGAATCATTTAGCTACCAAACGACCCTCGTGTCGTTCAATAGAACCATCCGCCTTGAATTTGATTTTGTATATCCATTTACAACCAATCGGCTTCCGATATGGGGATAATGAAACAATATCCTAAGTGTGATTTTCCATGAGGGCGTGGAGTTCAGCTGCCATCGCATGTTGCCATCGAAGATCATGTGCTGCTTCATTATATGAAGATGGCTCCTGTTCTTCTAAAATGTGACTGATGCAACACATATGTTCTGGTGAGAGTCAACTAAATGGGACATACGAAGACAGAGGATATTGTGTACCTGGAGAACTCAATGTAGAGCATATGTAGTCTTTGGTCCATGTAGGTGGACAAATATTGAGTCTAGAACGTCAAGGTTGCTCAGTTGGTACTTGTTCAGGTACTGAGGAAGATTCCTAAGCAAGCTGTGGTGGAGATGAAGCCACAATTGGTGAATGAATATCCTCATATAATACTAGTGATTCATCTACTTGACTCAAAGATTCTCTCATAACTAGCATAGACGGTTTTGGTGCGACGATAACATATTGAGGAGTTATGGATAAATCATCATCGGATAAAAATTGACAGTAGTCGGATGATGAGGATGATGAAGGTATCTTCTTCTGAAAAGGGAATACATCCTCATGAAATGTAACATCCCTGCTTATAAAGAAATGCCCTGTAGAGATCTCCATAACTCTGTATCCTTTCTGAAGAGAACGATATCCCATGAAAATACACTGAGTGGCACAGGGATCCATTTTATCCTGAGGGCCCACAGTCGTTGCATAACATAAACAACCAAATACTTTAAGATGATCAATTTTTGGTTATTTCCCGTAAAGCATCTCAGAAGGGGTTTGACCTTCAAGAATTCGAATTAGCATGCAATTAATCAAATAGGTTGCCGTGACCACACAATCTCCCCAAAAATTTTCCGGAATGGAAGCTTGATATTTTAATGCTCGGGTTACTTCCAAAAGATGGTCTATGCTTGCGCTCAACAATTCCATTTGTTGTGGAGTATAGGTGCAAAAACTTTCATGAAGTATCCCATGCACAGATAGAAATGATATGCAATCATACATAAAGAATTCACGCCCATTATCTGTACAAATTTTTTGGATAGGTTTTTCGAATTAATTTCTAATCATAGAAAGGAAATTCGACAAATGAGAAAAGGTTTGGCTTTTGGATTGCATAAGGAAGAACCAGGTGGCACGTGTATAATCATCCACAATTGTGAGAAAAAATCGGGATCCATCACGATGATGGGTATGATGAGGACCCCAGATGTCCATATGGAGTAACGAAATAGCACCGTTAGCTCGAAATGTACTAATTGGAAAAGATACTCGAGACTGTTTAGCTAAAGGACATATTGGACATTTTGGATGAGGAAAATGTGTGCTATGACCCAAACGTTGATGAAAAAGGAGATTTTCATTGCGAATAGTAGCATTACAAGAAATGCCCTTATTCAATGAATCTAAATCTCTTGGAGAATCAACCCAGAAATATAGTCCTTGTGCAATATTACCCAAGCCCATCAGTTTGCCAGTCGTATGGTCATTTTTGTCACTGTTCTTTAGTTGACTCAGAATTTTCATAATATTCTGATACTGATCTTGAGTAATTGTTTCACATGCCCCATCAATTCTATGTGCAGAAACCTGATAAGCAGAAAATTCCTTCTCTTTTTTGTCTTTAACATTTGGTTTGCCACATAATTTCTAGCATGTATCAATAGTATGGTGTAGGCGCTTGCAATACTCACAATATTTATTTTTGAATTTAGAGTTTTGCTCACTAACCATCTCTGATGACTTGGCACTTCATGAGACATAGGATCCCTTATAAGCCGACGCCGATGTGGCCTGTTGATAGCCGTTAGATTCAACTGATTTGATGGCTAAATAAGAGCCGTTCAATCCCATGCATTGATCATAGCCGTCCATTTGAGAAACCCTAGGGTTTCCTTCATTTTCTTTGGGCGCAACCAGTCTTCGAGTTCCTGAGTTCCCCAGAGATCTGCGACTTCCAGTGGGGGCTCCATTCGTCGATTCGGCCGGAGCGAAGCTAGATGAGAAAGCGGCGAGGGTGATGCCTTCACTCACCCTTGCACACTCGGTCGCAGCTATGTGGTGGCTCTCCTCTTGGACGGCCAACTGGTAGATCCGACCGAGCGGTGGCGCGAGTTCTATCGCAAGGATTTGCAACCTAAAATGTGAGTAATTTTCATTTAAAATCACTAGAAATCTTTTAGCCTTCTCCCTTTCTCGCATTGCTCTATATTGCCGAAGCGTTTCGTCGGACCCTTCAAGCTTGTCTTTGGCTGCTTCGAGCTCGTTCCACAGAGCCGAGAGTCAGTTGAAGCATGTGGTAATCGATAGGTTCCCTTGCTTCGACTCTAACAAGGTCTAGGTGAGTGAGAAGATTTTGGCCCGGTCTAATTTTCCATACATTTCATGGATATTGTCCCTGATTGTCTTCACATCTTCAGTCGGTGGGAGTCTGGTGGCAACCTCAGGGGCCAAGCAATTTCAAATCCATGTGCACACGAGCTGGTTGCATTTGCGCCAGTGCCATCGTAAGCGGTCGTCGGATGGGAAGGGCACAGTTCTGTCAAGGAACCCATCTTTGTCCTTGGTAACCAAGGCCTGCCAGAAGTCCCGAGCCCAGGTACTGTAGTTTTTAGGTCCGGCAAGTTGTAAGCTGATGAGGCACGATTCTAGCCCGTCGGCCGACGATGTGTAAAGGGGTTCGCCGGGCTCGGGGCGGCCACTGCTGATTGGAACTGCATAGGGCATCAGACCGGGTCCTAGATTCGGGTAGGAATTTATCCCTGGACCCGGTGGAATGAATTCGGGTCTATGGCCCAGACCCGTCCAACCCATCCCTGCGTTTAGGTTGGCTCCTGCATTGAAAGAAATTGGCCCACCTTCAATGCGCTGGGCTCCAAGATTCGGGGATGCTTCTTCTCCAGATGTGCCGTATTGAGCCCATGACTAGTTTGGCCCGAGAGCCCATGGACCTTGAACTAGAAACTAGTGGACTGGTGGCCACTGGACCGGGCTGGAGACGTGAATTGGAGCAAGAGCAGGATCAACAGGGTCTTGTGCTGTGGATCGTTGATCATCAGTTTGATCAATGTGATCCAAGACTCTATTATAAGGTGGCTTTGGAGTTTCCTCCGTTGAAGAATTTTCTCCAGTAACCGTGTTCTTGTTCTTGGCCATGGTATCTCTGAATTAAATTCCTATCCGGGTGTTGATTTGTTTTGGAAGGGCTTGATTCATAATAACAAATCAGAAAAAATGGAGGCAATTCAAGGGTGGGGTTCACGAAAGCTAGGCCAGGAAGAGTGGCTCTGATACCATGACAGAAACCAAAAGGAAATTGGAGAAAAAATGTATTGAATTGATATGATTTGTATACATTTACATTGATCTATTTATACCGTAAAAAATGAGAAAAAAACAGGAAATAATATACAAGGATCGCAACTTCATATTTACCAAACCAATTACGGATCCTTTGGATCAATTAGTCCGTAATCGAGGTCGGCACTACAATCAAAATCAAATCATATTTCCAACAATGTAAAATCATATTTCCAACATATTTTATATACCTTGGAACATGGAAGGTTCCCACGGCTCGGTTCTCAGGTTCCAGACAAGTTACCAAATAGAAAATTGTGCATAATTATGATTTAATTTTATGACAATTCGATTCTCGATCCATTCATAGATTTAAACTATTGATTCCCTAAACAAAGTTGATTTAACAACAACGGTCGTGGTCGTAATGTGAATGAAACAAAAGACAGATTACCAAATAGAAATTTTGCATAATTATGAATTAATTTTAGGACAATTCGATTCTCGATCCATTCATAGATTTAAACTATTGATTCCCTCAACAAAATCTATTTAACAACAATGGTCGTAATGTGAATGAAGCAAAAGATAAGTTACCAAAGAAGCCATAAAAGGGGATACGAAGATAAGATAAACCTTCATTTGGAAAGGGAAAAGAAAAGGAATTAAAAAGAGAGAAGGGAATATATGGCAAGTAGAAAGGCCGCAAGGAAGTAGACAGTGATCAAAGCTTGGAGGGAGGGTAGGAGGAAGAGGAGAGAGCCGCAACCTCATCGGCAGCATCATCCACCAGGCGAGAGGCGGTGGCAGGGGAGAGGATGGGGAAGATGTCCACCAAAAGCTGCTTCAGTCAGTGCAGCGTAGGGGTGATCGGTTCTCGGTCCGGTCCGGTTCCAAAGTGGAACCGGGAACCGGACCGAGAGAACCAGTTCCCAATTTTGGGAACCGCGGACCGGACCGGACCACCAGTCCGGTCCGATTTCGGTCCGGTCCAATGGAACCGGTCATTTAGAGTTTAGTTTTTTTTTTTTGGGATAAGTGCACTACAAGTCCTAAAACTTGTCACAAAAGTGCGTTTGAGTCCTAAAACTTGCAAAAAGTTCATTTGAGTCCTAAAACTTGTCAAAATGGTTCATTTGAGTCCTAAAGTTAACACCGTTAGATTTACTAACGGAAAATGCTGACGTGGCGCCGACGTGTCATTTTTAATTATTTTTCTTGAGACACGTGGCGCCACATCAGCAAAAATAAAAATAAAAATAGAAAAAGCTGAAAAAAAAAAAAAACCAAAAAAAGGAGAAAAAAAATAATAAAGAACCGGCGGTGGCCAAGCCCGGCTGCCACCGCCGGTGGCCGAAGCCCGGTGGCCGGGAAGGACCGGCGGAGGTCGCCTGGGCCTTCCCGAAGCCCGGCGACCCTCGCCGGCTCGGGCGAGTCCCCGGCGAAGGCCGGCGACCCTCGCTCAGATCTGGGGCGAGGGTCGCGCCTCCCCCAGATCGAGGGTCGCCGGCCCTCGCCGGGACTCGCCCGGGGCCGGCGGAGGTCGCCGGGCCTTGGGAAGGCCCGGGCGACCCTCGCCGGCCCCGGGCGAGTCCCGGCGAGGGCCGGCGACCCTCGATCTGGGAGGGCGCGACCCTCGCCCCGATCTCGAGCGAGGGTCGCCGGCCCTCGCACGGGGCCGGCGAGGGTCGCCGGGCTTCGGGAAGGCCCAGGTGATGAACGCCGGTCCTTCCCGACCGTCGGGCTTCGGCCACCGGCGGTGGCCACCGGGCTTGGCCACCGCCGGTTCTTTTTTTTTTTTTTTCCTTTTTTTTTTGTTTTTTTCAGCTTTTTCTATTTTTATTTTTATTTTTGCTGACGTGGCGCCGCGTGTCTCAAGAAAAATAATTAAAAATGACACGTCGGCGCCACGTCAGCTTTTTCCGTTAGTAAATCTAACGGTGTTAACTTTAGGACTCAAATGAACCATTTTGACAAGTTTTAGGACTCAAATGAACTTTTTGCAAGTTTTAGGACTTAAATGCACTTTTGTGACAAGTTTTAGGACTTGTAGTGCACTTGTCCCTTTTTTTTTTTATTAAACGCTTAAGGTTTGGTTCACATTTTACTAATTTTTGTCAATGAAGTTCATTTAAGGTTTAATTCACATTTTACTAATTTTTATCAATGAATTTATGATAATGAAGTTCACTTAGAGTTTAGTTCACATTTTATTAATTTTTTAAAGAAAAAAATAACAAAAATATATATTAAATAGTCGGTCCGGTTTCTCCTTGGAACCGGGAACCGGACCGCCCGGAAATCGGTTCCGCTTTTAGGAACCGGGAACCGGACCGATAGTCCTAAGAACCGGACCAAACCCGCCAGTCCGGTTCGGTCCGGTCCGGTCCGGTCCCGATTTCGGTAGTCTAAGTTGCTCACCCCTAGTGCAGCAGCTCCAATGCATCGACCCTCTCCACTGCCTCCTGTGAGACAGAGACACCCTCCGTCGCCCTCAGCTTCTCCAAGACCCTCTCCTTTATCTTGTCGTCCTTAGTCTTACTCTTCTTCTTCTCATCTCTAGTCGTCAATTTGATGGCATGTTCCGGGGCGTGCAGCTCTCCTTGTCCCTTCCCACCATCCTCCTCATCCTCCCTGCGGTGACATGCCAGCATCTGCCAGGCTCCTTCTGAATAGCCTACGTACGCAAAAGGTCTTCCGACTAATTCCTGTTCTTTGACACGTACGTATGAGCATCAGATGAGACGGGGGTGAGGTGTGTTAAGTGATGAAATATAAGTAAATCCATAGTGGAAGATTCGAGCCAAACGAAAGGTCTCCCGTGCGTGGGGCCTTGTGTAGCTGGGACGGTTTTACTTCTTCTGGATTTGATACACTAGCTCCTATTTGTAGTCCATCATAACCTTCTCTTTTCTCTTTGCATGGACAATGGACATGCATAATACCTAGCAGAATCAGAAACCACTTCAACTAACCCAACGAATATATGTTATACCCTCTGTGGACGTGAATTGACGAGAGGAGATGATGATTCGTAATGGCTGTACTGTCAGTGTCAGTGCAGGTGAGAGGGTGGGGTCACTGACTCACTGGTTGCCTAACACCACAAAATAACATGGTACTTGAGGTTCCGAACTCTCGCATGCAGGAAAAGTACAAAAATAATAAAAAAAAATCTTAAACTTATTATATTTATATTAATTTAGTTATAAATATTTTAATAATTTTGTAAATTTTTTATAATTTTTTTGTTCTTTTTTTTTCTTTCCTTCAATTTTGCTGGCGAGGGTGAGGGCCTTCACACCCTCACTCGCTACCGGCGAGGCAGTGATGGCCTCGCCTACGGCCGACGGGGCTGGTGACCCATACCAGCCAAAATGAAGGAAAAAAAAAGAAATAATAAAATAATAAAAGAAAATAAAAGAACAAAAAAAATTTATAAATATTCAAAAATTATTAAAATATTCTTTAAAAATGCTCACGTCAGCACTGGCATCCACGTCAGCAATTTCCAGCCTAAATTGGATGGATGAACTAATTTATTACCAATATGAAAATGTTTATAACTAAATTGATTCAATTGAAATGTTTATATCTGAATTGGTACATTTTCCCCTCACATGCCACTTGCTAGAAGGTAGTGGACAATTGCGCTTTTTTCCATAGGATTGTTTTCAAAAATGTCCAAGGACTTTAGATGCTCTTTTCAGCAATAAATTTCTACTTAGAATGTGTTTAGCACGTGTTTCTTGGAAAACATTGTTGTGGTATCTTTCAAATACAGGGGAAATATCAGAACGTATGTCTTATTTTATATTCCATGGCCACTTACATGTCTCTAGTTTTGCAAATAGTATTTACATTCCTCTAAGCAAAACTCATTCTAGCATTTGTTTAGGATTCGATGGTTTGATTTTTTATTTTTCAGTTCGTTTTGGAGTGGGCCTGCGAATTTAGGATTTAGGAGTGGGCATTTTTGGAAGATAATGACATTTTCGTAATAAGGACTAAAGGATAACTATCTGAAGATGTAAAGTGGTCTCAAATGGTAATACTAAGGTATATATTTTGGGTTTTTAAATAACTTTTTTTGTCATGAAATTCATATGTTCAAGCCCATTGGAATAAAGTTACCCCATTCCGAATTTCGCATTCCATATCTCTGTCTTTTTCTAGGTTGTTTCACCCTTATTCTGATGCGAATTGCACCATCAAATGACGAATACAATCAATGGATACCCTATGCAAAAATAAAATTTGGGCTACAAAACACGATCGTATTCACAACAAAAATTCTAGACAATAATGATGTCTCGAGCATCAAACTCCAACAAATCTTTCTCCGGGGTACACTTTGTCGGTACGAAAAGTTCCCATCAATATACAGTGATGACTTAAATAGAAAGCAGAACTGGTGGAAAATGCGCATCCCAATGTTATCCTTGGACGAAGCAATCTATGAACAAGAGTCAAGGTTGACATGACAAAAGTTTCCTAGCTGAAAGAAACAGCACATGACCCTCACTTGTTTCGTAAAATGAAACTTTTAGTGACGTAACACCATTTCCATTATCAATCCGGGACTTGGCTACTTGGAGGTGAGGGTTGATTAAGTTTTAAGTATGCTTTGGATCTTCTCGTTTCTGTTGGTGTACTTCATGTGTTAAATTTTTAGGTAATGTGCGAGATCCCACGAAATTATGCAGAAATCAATACACAAGCTGATGTGATATAATCTGAATGAATGCGTAGCGTGCCGAGAATAATTTGAAATACGATAGATGGTGCACTTATTTAAAAAATTGATTCAGAGGCGATACATCAATATATGATAATATTAAATTTTGTAGACCATCGAATATACCGGGAGGAAGAACAGCAGAAGTGCCAAAAATTGTGTACGGAGCTCACTTTGGTGCCAAAAGTTTCAATCGGATCACTTAAGTGCCAAAAGTTGAGAAAAACGTTCACTTAAGTGTCACTTCGCCGGAAATCCGACGTGGCATTTTTTTATTAATTTCTCAAGCTGATGTGGCTCGCCGGGGGCTGATGTGGCATTTCTTTTATTTTTTTTTTCCTTTTCTTTCTTTTTTCCTTTCTTTTCTTTTTTTCTTTTCTTTCTTCTTATTTCCGATGGCCGGCGTCCGGCCACCGACCATGGCCGGCCTCGCCCGTAGGAAGGCGACGCCTCGGCGAGGCCGCCGTGGCCTTGGCGAGGGCTTGCCTCGCCAGATCTGGTGAGGCCGACCCTCGCCGAGGCCACGACTGCCTCGCTGAGGCGTCGCCTTCCTTCGGGCGAGGCCGCCGTGGCCCTCGCCGAGGCCACGACTGCCTCGCCGAGCCTCGCCCGGAGGAAGGCGACGCCCGGCGAGGCCGGCCATGGCCGGTGGCTGGCCTCCGGACACCGGCCATGGTAGAAGAAGAAGAAGAAGAAAGAAAAGAAAAGAAAAAAAGAAAAGAAAAGAAAGAAAAAACATCAGAAAAAAAAAATTTTAAAAATTGAATTATACACATGGAAATGCCACGTGTCATTAAAATTTAAATATAAAAGCCACGTATTAAATTTGATCGGAATTTCTCGCCGTTGGCACTTAAGTGATCGTTTTTTCTCCGATTTGGCACTTAAGTGACCGTCGGCGTAAACTTTTGGCACTTAAATTATCCAAATGAAACTTTTGGCACCAAAGTGAGCTCCGTACACAACTTTTGACACTTCTGCTGTTCTTCTCCCGAATATACCGAATAATAATAATTTTGTGCACATTAAAAGCCAAAAGAGAAAAAAAAAATTTGGATCCAACTCCAATGTTTGTTTCGTTAACTTTCACACCACAAGATACCACCAATTACACCGACAGTGTCTATTTACCTATGGAATTAGATCTGCCGGGCTCAATACTGAGGACCAAAAAAAGTGCTTTCGTGACGTATAAGGGTGCATTTGATAACTGGCCAAATAGTAATTGATTTTACTCTTTTGTTCTGGGAAACAAAAAAAGAACAGAAATCCATTTGGTAAATTTTTTGTTCCCGGGCACAAATTCGTTCCCCGAATCAGTTTTGGACCAAAATCAAGAAATAAAAAAAAGTTGATTCTTAATTTTGGGAACAAGAATGAAAAATAGAAAAGATTTCTTTTTCTTTTTCTTCTTTCCTGTTCTTCTTCTTGGCCAGAGCCGATGAGGGCTGGACTCTCGCGACCTGGGCGAGGGTCTCCCTCACTGGATCGAGTGAGGGCGGCCTTGGCCGACCATTTCCAGCCCTTGCCCGAGCCGACGAGGGCCGCCCTTGAGGCTCGCGGCTTGGGCGAGGGCCGCCCTCGTCGGATCTGGCGAGGGCGACGGCGAGGGCGGCCCTCGCCGGCTTGGGCAAGGGCTGGAAATGGCCAACCACGGCGGCCCTCGCCTAGGCTGCAAGGGTCCAGCCCTCGCCGGCCAAGGCCAAGAAGGAGAAGGAAAAGAAAAAAGAAATATTAAAATATTTAAAATATATTATTAAAATAGTATTAATAAAAAGAAATTTTGTGCAGTTACCAAACACATTTCTGCTATTTTTCTATTTTAGGAATGGAAATTTTGGCCGTTACCAAACGTATTCAAATGCTTAGAAATTGTTTCCGGGAACAGAATAAAAAAAAATCATTTCTGAGCACAAATTGTTTTCGGGAACAAAATGGTTACCAAACGCACCCTAAGTCGATGTCTTCGGAATCGAGATTTTCTTATTAAATCTACATAACATAATTCCATTAAGGGTAACTAAGGGTGCGAATGACAACATTTCTCTTTCCCAGACGAGTTTCTGAGCAAAATGAAACGTTTGATAACGACACATAATTTAGTGTTTGATAACAACACATAATTTTTGTTTCTGGAATAGAAATTCTTGTAATAACGACGCAAAATTTTTATTCCCACCGGCCAGTGAGCGGCAGTGGACGGTTGGTGAGCGGCGGTGGGCAGCAATGGGGGAGGGAAGGCCGGTGAACGACGGCGGCTAGTGGTGGGGGGGGGGGGGAGGGGGGGGGCGACCGACGGTGGGTGGGGTGGGCGGCCGGCGAGTGGCAGCGGACAGCCAGCGAAAGGTGGCGGTAGATAGCCGACGGCTGGCGGCAAGTGGGCGGTGGTGGGCGGCAAGGGTGAGCAATAAAAGAAAGTTTTTATTTCTATTTCTATTCCAGAAACAAAAAAGTAAAAAATTTTAACTTTTTATTTCTGTTCCAAATCTATTTTTGGGCCAAAATTTGTCCCAGAAATAACAAAATGAAATTATTTTATCAAACGGATTTCTGTTCCAAACCTGTTCCCGAGAAAAAAAAAATAGAAAAACAGGGAAACATAATGGTTATCATTCGCGCTCTAAAATTTGTTTGAGGAACCAGGTATGTATTTAAATTTCAAGAACGAAATTTTATTAGAGGGAGAGAATTGTGACATCCTCAATTTGGACCGAAACGACCAAAGGAAAATGGCCATGGATTTAGTGTACGGACTATCCGAGGATCGGTCATGGATAGACAAGTATGGTCGGAACGGATATCTAGGGGATTGATCATGATTTGATCGAAAGATTGTTCATGGATAGGCCAAGAGCTCGGTCTATTTCTACAGGCAATTTTTTCCGGGGGTCATAATTGCTCAGCAACTACGTAAGAGGAAATTCCCAAGATCTATAGTACCACGTAGAAAAAACGACGATACAAACAAAATAGAGTAGTTGAGAAAATTGATGTGTAGAAAAGTCCTTGAGAAGGACATTGTTGTGGTATTTTTCTCGCCTGAAGCAGTTAAGAGCTTAAGACTAATCTAATACGATGGATTGGAGGGGTTGTTTATTTTTGTATAGCAGTCAAAGTCCTTGAGAAGACTTTGTTGTGGTATTTTCTAAATATAGGCAAAAATATCAAGAACATATCTTATTTCATATACAAATATATATTTATTTGTGCAGATATAATTCACATTTATATCAAAACCCCATGTTGAAATGACTAAATTGTCCTTGTAAACTCATTTTGGTATCTTTTCTCGGATTTAATGGTTTTGTTTTCATTTAGTTTTGGATGATTTGAGTGGGAGCAGATATTTAGGATTTAGGGTTTGGGCATTCTTGGAAGACAATGACACTTTTGTAAATAAGGATAACTGGATAAAATAATTCATGCGAAGATGGAAAGTGGTTTCTAGAAGTAAAATTCAGGTACCTGTTTAGTACTTTTAAAAAATTGAGATAGGTAAGCGATCATTGGGTGAAATGTGAGGTATGTGTTTATTTTTTGTATTTTTCCTAAATATAATGATATATCCACAATTTAATTTTTCATTTCTTTATTTAGTATTGCAATTTTATTTATTTATTCTTTTTTTTTGCCGATTATTTATTTATTCAAAGCCCTTCCAAAGACATGTCTTTTGACCATTGTAATTCGTCTTCTCTTAATACGCAGACTAGTTCTACAATAGCATTTGAGCCTAGATATCGAAACCAAAGGGAAGGATTTCAGTTTAGCGGACAACGTTTCAGATTATGATTAATTAAAAGGAAGGATTTCTTCCAGACGGCATCGTTGATATGCGTTTGTCCCATTTTCTTCTTTCGTTTATCATTATTTGATTTTAACTGCTTAGACTTGAATTCCCCGGAGAAACATAGAGCATGCATATATGCACGTTTGACCTCTTCTGATCTCTGAGAGGAAATAATAATCTCGTTGGGGTTTTGGAGTATAAATGGTGAACAATCCAGGTGAGAGTAGATGATGATTAACCAAACACCACATGAAGTTATGACCAAAAAAAAAAACACCACATAAAGCCGCCATATGTTTTATAGTGGAGTGAGATTGAAGCGACCGTGGAGACGAAGAGTAATATAGTGCGTCTGTTGTGTGTAACTATTGTCCAAGGATAAGATGGACGGTGGTTGAGGAATCGTCATCGACGAGAGTCATTATCAATATCACCATCTGGGCCTATAAATACCCGCTCATCTTCTCCGCTCTCTATCTCCCTCGATCTCTCCATACATAGTCAACGAAATGGGTGCAGTTGCAGGTGCAGGCGAAGAGTTCATGGTGAAGTTGGGCAAGAGAGAAGTGGTGGCGGCACCACTGCCCATGCAAGAGCATTGGCTGCCCCTCTCCAACCTCGACTTGCTCTTGCCTCCACTTGACGTAGGCGTCTTCTTCTGCTACACCAACCCAACCACCACCGCCACCTTGCAGAGGCTTGAGTATGGGTCCATGGTGGGGATTCTGAAAGCCGCCTTGGCCCAAGCTCTGGTCTCCTACTATGCTCTCGCCGGGGAGGTGGTCCAGAACACAGGCGGTGAGCCTGAGCTCCTGTGCAACAACCGTGGGGTGGACTTCGTCGAGGCTTTCGCGGACATTGAACTCTGCCATCTCAACCTGTATAATCCCGACAAAACCATTGAAGGGAAACTGGTTCCTACAAAGAAGCAAGGCGTGCTTGCTGTTCAGGTATAGATATTAGATTCCGCCCTACTATGTACCGTTTATCCATCTCAAGAGATTAGATCACTGTATATGCACCCAATTTTATCTTCATTTCACCAAGACTACATTTGTTTCGCAAAAAAAATGAATGATTTAGAAAATATTTTCCAAAACTTATTGCTTGTATCACTTACAAAAATGAATGAATGAATGAAATTTTTTTTCATCGCCCACAAAAATATTTAAATATAAATGGTCAATTATTTCAAGCAATACAAGCTATTATTTTTGGAAAAATGTTTTCTAAATTATTCATTTTCTGCCAAACAAACGGAGCCTAAATCTACAATTCTTTTTCTTAAATCTTTTGTATATGCATGGGCGTATAAGTATAACCAGCGTCAAATGGAATAGTGTACCATATATCTGTAAGTCTATGGGTCAGATTCTCCAACTTTACTGAGAATGGTTCACAAAGTTGGTTCATTCATCGATGTTGAAGTTCTTTCATCTAATGTCGAAATAAAACCTTTCGTTCACGGCACTAAGTATGCAAATTTTACAAATCAAAATTTGCTACTATTTGACATTGTTGATACAGAAGTATGATGTTTGGACTTTGTTCACACGTCTGATATTATAGCCGGTGATCGCACGTTATCAAGGGTTTCTTATAGTTTACTATTTTCCTTGTAATAATTCAAAGATGTCCTAATCAAAGTCACATCAATAAGTATACACGAAACAGAACAATGTATCAAGATTATTGATAAATGATCAGAGGAAGAAAAGTCCGACACTTCGTGCGAGCTTCACTGATTTATTTATGTGATCATTGAGATTATGCATTTGCTCATTGAGTCCATTGAGAATAGTGAGATAAAAATAGTGTGATGCATGAGTGATAATAATATAAATGAAGGAGGAAATTATCGTTTTGTCGATTTTGGATGGAATTGAATGAATGGAAGAATCTTAGAATTAATAATTAGCTTGATGAGACACCGCACCATTATGGCAAGGTTCACAGCGACCTCAAGCGCGAAAGATTCATATTTATATGGAAAGGGTGGGATTTCTCTTTCACTACAACTTCATGCATTTAATTAATGCGCCAAATGGGAAACAAGAGTGCTAGTCTTGTGCGAAATAATTAAATAATGGATATTATTGTTGTCATCGAGGAAAGAAGTAGCTAGTAAACTATATGATAAAGTCTTCTCGAAGAGATTAGTTAAAGTAATGGAGGATTAAAAAAAAATTACACATTAAACTGCCTCATTGAAATGCAAGAGAAAACTATTCTGTTGCCGAAAAAATATAGTAGGGTCGATAGATTATGAAGATCAAGTCCATCATAGGATAACTTTTCGGTGATGCATGAGTAAGTCTTCTATGTAGACGAAGTCTACTAGATCAAGCTGCCAAATAAATGTCAATAATATGTGTAATACTAGATCTCATCAAGACATAAATAATTTCTGTTGGGATTGATTCTGTCCACTGCATAAGTTGCTAATAGGCTAAGATTTGAACAAATTTTCTCGATGGAAAACATTCAGGCAACGGAGCTAAAGTGTGGGGGAATAGTGGTGGCGTGTACGTTTGACCATCGGATAGCTGACGCCCACTCGGCCAACATGTTCATGGTGTTTTGGGCAGAGACGGCTCGCTCCGATGCCCCGATCTCGCTCCCTCCTTCTTTCCGCCGCTCTCTTCTCAACCCAAGGCGTCCGCTCTGCATTGACCCTTCTCTAGACCGCATGTACGTGCCCATCTCCGCATTGCCCCCACCTCCCCAGCACAAGCAGCAGGCGGGTGGTGAATTTGAGCCAAAGTCATCGAGGGACAACAACCGTCTGGTAAGCCGCATCTACTATGCGACGGCCACCCTGCTAAGCGAGTTGCAGCAGATGGCCAGCTCCAACGGAAGCAAGAGGTCTAAGTTGGAGTCGTTCAGCGCTTTCCTTTGGAAGATGGTGGCCGAATCCTCCTTGGTTGCTAATAACCAGGACAGCAAGGCGATATCGAGGATGGGAATTGTGGTAGACGGCAGGTGTAGGTTGATGAGTCAGGGCGGGGACGACAAGCCCTTACCCATGGCGTCCTACTTTGGGAACGTGCTGTCGATAGCATTTGGAGAGAAGAGGGCGAGGGAGGTGGTGGAGAAGCCGCTGAGCTGGGTGGCGGAGGCGGTGCATGAGTTTGTGGAGAGGGCGGCGACCAGGGAGCACTTCCTGGACCTGATAGACTGGGTGGAAGAGCATCGGCCGGCACCAGGGGTGACAAGGATATACTGCAAGCTGGGGAGCGAGGAGGAGGAGGAAGGGTCAACGGCGTTTGTGATGTCATCGGGGCAGAGGTTCCCGGTGACCGAGATTGACTTCGGGTGGGGGAAGCCAGTGCTGGGATCCTACCACTTCCCGTGGGGAGGGGAAACCGGGTACGTTATGCCCATGCCCAGCCCGCTCTCCAACGGCGACTGGGTGGTCTACCTCCACCTCTCCCGGTCTCAGGTGGCCTTCATTGAGTCCAAAGCTCCCACCGTCTTCAGGCCCTTGACGCCTTACTATCTTCGCTTGCTTTGATTCTTCTTCTTCTGCATGAATACATTCTCGTGCCTCACCGCTACTGTTGGTGGTTGTTGTTTGTCCTGTTTGATTAAAACCTTATGTTCCTTGTGTATTTTCTTTCCCGACATGCATCTTACTCTGTCCTTATTCTCCATATCGATCAATCCGAAGCATATGTCTACTTTCTGTTGATAACACATATCGCTTGCTCACTGTCTTCTAAAGTTATGAGCAATTTGACGAATGCCGGCATTTTGTATCATAAACATCGTGCAAGTAACTTCTCATACGGGAAAGACGAAGAAAATAATTAATGATGTCACCCCGTAATCATCCGAAATTAGTCTAATCTTGTCAAATTTTCCTATTGCTCTATGTTCGGTGATTTGACGTTCTACCTTCAAAGGCGTTCAAGTTAGACCTTGTACCCGTCTCCAATAAAAATGTTCCGTCGCTTTGCGTCCGATTCAACCATGAACCTACTAGCAATATCGATTAGTTGATGCGGTTGGTGTTGAAAAAACTCCATGCAAGCAATTAGACTACACCTACATACATCCAAACTTCAGGAATTTATCTTTTATATCCTAGCCACATCTTCAATGAACAGTAGTCAACTCCAACATGGGTTGTTAACGCTGAAAATCTTATTAGGAACGCGAATTGTTGAAGAAAAAAAATTGAGAAGAAAACACATGAACTTTTACATGGAATGCCCTTTTCAAAATTAGAAAAGGAAAAGTCACGGTGCAGCACTAGGCAATCTTTTCACTATCAGTATGAGTAACATAGTTACAAGCTTCAGCCTTCAAGGTTACAACTACCAAAGATATTGTCCCGATATATTACAGGAGTTTAGAGCATGCATAGTTATGATGAAAATTACATAAATCCCATTAACAACAGTTAAAAAAAGCTCTATTCTCTACTTTAACATGAAATTACATAGATGTCATTAGCAGTAAAAGCTCTAAGATTTAATATTAATTTTCTCTTTCAAATTCCATGACTTCATCAATCTCCCACTTGGAGGTTGATCTTCAAAACGGCAATAGTCTTCATAGTCTTCATTCATCTTTGTAACCAAAATTGTCCTAGTGCGGCAGCCTCGTCATTACTAACCATGGAGGCCAACTGAGGCAATGCACAGCCTCAATTTCTTAGTGGTGACAACATTAATTAACATATCTACTAGATTTTCTGCACCAAGAATCTTCTTCAATGACAATATCCCATCATTTATCAGTTGACAAATATGATGAGTACTTCAACTCAATGTACTTTGTCCTTAAATGAAATACCAAATTGTTTGCAAGACAAACAGCATTTTGATTGTTACTAAAAAGAACATTGTTATCCTACTCCTTGCCTCCTTTGAAAATTTGTTTAACCAAATCATCTCATTGCTAGCTTCGGATATAGCGACACACTCTGCTTTAGTGGCTTAGAGGGACACACACTTCTGAAGTCTAGACATCCAACTGATTGCAGTGCCACCTAAGGTAAAAACATAACTTGAGGTGCTCTTCCTATTATCCAAGTCACCACCAAGATCTGCATCAACAAAGCCTTGTAAAGTTAAATTGTTTTTCCATAAAATATAGTGACATACATGAAGTGCCTTTTAGGTATCCTATAGCCACTTTATAGCTTCCCAATACGTTATTCTTAATTTAGCCATATATATGCTCACAACTCCTACTGTGTGAGCTATGTTTGGTTTGGTACACACAATAGCATACATTTTTTTTGGCAAGGCACCATAGCATACATTAAACTACCAAAAGTTAAAGCGTAAGGTACCTTAGCCATATACTCCCGCTCTTCATCCGTCTTTGATAACTGCTCATTCAAGACATTGAAGTGACTTCCTAAAGGAGTACTTTTGGGCTTTACATTCTGAATTTGTCCAACACTTTCTCAATGTATTTTTCCTGAGATAACTTTAGAATTCCTTCAAATCTATCTTGCGTGATCCTTATCCCAAGAATCTAATTCGCTACTCTCGAGTCCTTCATCTCAAACTCTTTTGATAATTGCTACTTCAATATGTTGATCTCCCTCATGCTAGATCCTACAATGAGCATATCATCCACATCCATCAGCAAAATAATATAGCAGTCATTATATTTCTTGAAATAACAACAGTGATCAATTTCACTTCTAGTGAACATGTTACCGCACATAAAGGTACCAAATTTCTTGTACCGCTGCATAGGAGCCTATTTCAAGCCACACAAATATTTCTTCAGCTTGCAGACTAAGAGTCTATTTGGTAACGTTTCTACTCCCGAGAAAAATTTCTCTTCAGAAATAGTTTTTTCTATTTCTATTCCCTAGATGAGTCTTTGAGTAGAAGAATGTGTTTGTTAACTGTATAAAATTTCTATTCCCTGAATAGAAAAAGGAAATAAATGCATTTAGCACGACCTTAAAAATTTCAACTCCTAAAATAAATGCATTTAGGGTTTGGGGTTGGGGTTTTAGGGTTTGGGATTTGGGGTTTTAGGGTTTGGGTTTTGAGGTTTAGGATTTATGGTTTTAGGGTTTAGTGTTTCGGGTTTTGGATATGGGGTTTTAAGATTTGGGTTTTGGGGTTTGGAGTTTAGGATTAGGGTTTAGGATTTAGGGATTGGGGTTTCAGGTTTTGATTTTTGGGGTTTGGGGTATAGGGTTTCGATGTTTTGCGATTTAGGGTTTATGGCTTTAGGGTTTCGGGTTTGGTGTATAGGGGTTTGGGGTGTAGTGTTTAGTGTTTTGGGTTTTGGGTTTGGGGTTTGGGTTTTGGGGTTTAATGTAGGATTTAAGGTTTTAGGGATACGGGTTTTGGGGTTTGGATTTTAGGGTTTAGGATTTAGGGTTTGGGGTTTTAGTGTTTAAGGTTTTAGGGTTTAGGTATTGAGATTTAGGGTTTTAGGGTTAAGGTTTAGGATTTTGAGTTTTAGGGTTTGGGCTTTAGGGTTTAACATTGGAATATCTTGAGAGAGAGAGAGAGAGAGAGAGAGAGAGAGAGAGAGAGAGCTGATCTTGTTTCTCTATTCTTTCTCTTTTTGTTCTCGGGAACAAAAAAAGTAGATTTTTTTTTACCTCTTATTTCTGTTCTATATATATTTCCTAGCCACTTTTCTATTCCGAGGAATAGCAAAATTAACTGGCGTTACCAAACGGATTTTTGTTCTTTTGTATTCCAGATAACAAAACAAAAGAAAAATAAAAAGACTGAAACTTACCAAACAGGCCTTAAGTTTTCTTTTTCGAAAACCTGAAATCTTTAGGTTTTACCATGTGGATATCCTCCTCTATGTCACCATTGAGGAATCCAATCTTTATGTTTATTTGCTCTTGATGCAAGTTCTCTGCAACAACAATACTAGCCTAATAATAGTCAACTTCACAACTGGAGAGAATATCTCTGTTTAGTAAATACATTTTTTTGTTGAAAACCTTTTACATCTAACCTTGCTTTGTATCTTTTGGTGCCATTAGGTTCTTCTTTGACTCAGTATACCCACTTGTTCTGCAATACCTTCTTCCCATATGGTAACTAAGTTAAACCCCAATTATTGTTCTTCTTGAGTGAATCCAACTCATCTCACATTGCTAACTCCCACTTAATAGAATTTTAACCTGTACTACTTTTGAAAAAACAAATTTGGTTCGCCAGCGTGAGTCAAAAGCAAATAATGCAATGATGGAGAACACCTCTGTACAAGTTTAGATGTTATACTATCTTCTTAAAGTGGGTTTAGGTGTATGTGATTCTTGTTTTGGTTTTTTATCAGAGTCTACAATAGCAAATTTCAGAATTCTTAAACAAAACACTGTTAAAACCCCCTAATTCAATCTCTCTATTGTACGTCATTTGTTTTTTATACTAGATTCTACCACAAATCTGTCCTTGTACAGCATGTTTTCATTGAATGTAACATCAGTAGTTCTTATCATTTTTATGTTTTGTCATCCCAAAAATGATGGCCAAAATAATCAGATTCATATCCAATGAAAAAACATTTTTTTTTACTTTTGTATTAAGCTTATTTCTATTTTCAACATCTATGTGAACATATGAAACACAATTGAAAACTTTCAGATTCAAGAGATTCACCTTCTTTCTAGTCCATTTTTTCTTCTAGTAGCTTAAAATCAAGTAAAACTGAAGGTCCTCTGTCAATCAGATATGCTGCTATGTTAATTGCATCTGCCTAAAATGTCTTGGGTAATCCCACATGCATTCTCATATTTCTTGCATGCTCATTTAAAGTTATGTTTATCCTCTTAGCAACTCTGTTTTGTTGTGATCTGTTGGGAACTATTCTTGTAATTGTTATTCCATTTTCTGCACAAAATTGTTTGAACTCATTGCTATCATACTCACCACCATTATCGGACCTTGGACATTTAATCTTCAGGCCAATCTCATTCTCCACTTCAGCTTTCCATCTCTCAAAAGTAGCACATATCGGATTTATTTTTCAGAAAACAAATTCATAGTTTTCTAGCAGAGTACATCAATGAACGTGACGTAGTAGCTCAATCCTCAAAGGGAATGCACAGGGGCTGACTCCCACACATCTGTATGCATCAACTCTAATTTTCCTTTCTTTAGTTCTCTCCTAATTTTCGAAAGACACATTTATGCTTGCCCAGAACGTAATCCTTACATAGACCAATATCTATGAACTTCATATTAGATAGTTTTCCTTTTGATGTTAACACCTTCATCCCTTTTTCGCTCATGTGTCCAAGCCAGGGGTGTCCCAATTTGGAATCAACTTCCGACTCAGCAATTGCTGCTATTTCTCTACTACTCTCAGTAATGTATAATGTTCCCAACTTTGTTTCCTGTGCTACAACCAATATCACCTTTAACAATTTTTCACGAGCGTCGCGACCTAAATTTTCTCAGGCTAATGGATTATTAAGACTAAGCTTAACTCGGGCCCTCCCAAGCCCTACCAATTCGCAACTTAGGGTTTAAGTTTTTAACATGCAAAAGTTTTCATGCTTGGAGTCGCCACTAATCTATTTATGGCAGGTCGATTAGAAACCTAAATAAAACATAGGGAGATATGTTTTATTCCTACGAACCAGAGATTCTAATCTCGGGGACTTGGTTACGCTAGATCTAGTCTAACGCCCTTTCGGTACCTTTTCTTTTCAAAAAATGTTTATGCATGCAGTCTGGATCCATTTTA